AAAAAAAAAGTCTTCCAAGGTCGAGAAGGGAGAGAGAGTGTTGACATGTTGTGGGGTTGTTAACCAATGTCGTTAAATAATGTGTACTGATGTTTAATGAGAAACTATTTGTTCTGTAAACCTTCACCTAAAGTACAATTTAAAAAAAAAAAGTTCTCATCAAAGTATGTGAGACATAGTCTAGCCATCCTTGCTTCTAAGGAGCATTCTGGTTGTACTTCTTCCAAGACAAACGTGTTTGTTCTTTTGGCAGTCCACGGTACATTCGATATTCTTCGCCAACACCACAATTCAAAGGCGTCAATTCTTCTTCAGTCTTCCTTATTAACTGCACAGCTTTGACATCCACATGAGGCAACCGAAAACGCCATGGCTTGGGTCAGGCGCACCTTAGTCCTCAAGGTGACATCTTTGCTTTTCAATACTTTAAAGTGGTCTTTTGCAGCAGATTTGCCCAATGCAATGTGTCTTTTGATTTCTTGACTGCTACCTCCATGGGTGTTGACTGTGGATCCAAGTAAATGAAATCCTTGACAATTTCGATCTTTTCTCCACTTATCATGATGTTGCTTATTGGTCCAGTTGTGAGAATTGTTGTTTTATGTTGAGATGTAATCCATACTGAAGGCTGTGGTCTTTGATCTTCATCAGTAAGTGCTTCAAGTCCTCCTTACTTTCAGCAAGCAAGATTATGTCATCTGCATATCATAATGAGTCTTCCTCCAATCCTAATGCTGCATTCTTCTTCATATAGTCCAGCTTCTCTGATTATTTGTTCAGCATACAGACTTAATAGGTATGGTGAAAGGATACAACCCTGACACACACCTTTCCTGACTTTAAACCACAAAGTATCCTCTAGTTCTGTCCGAACCACTGCCTCTTGATCTATGTACAGGTTCCTCGTGAGCACAATTAAGTGTTCTGGAATTCCCATTGTTCTCAATGTTATCCATAATTTATTATGATCCATATGGGCAAATGCCTTAGGATAGTCAATAAAATTCACAAGTGAACATCTTTCCGGTATTCTCTGCTTTCAGCCAGGATCCATCTGACATCAGCAATGATATCCCTGGTTCCATGTCCTCTTCTGAATCCAGCCTGAATTTCTGGCAGTTCCCTGTCAATATACTACTGCAGCCGCTTTTGAAATGGGGCAGTTCTACTCTGTCCTACAGGGTGGCTTGAGTCAAAACTGACTTGACAGCAATGGGTTAATTATGTGTCAGGGATTGTGTTATAAGTGCTTTATGTGTTAGTTCCATTAATCCTCACAAATAACTCCATGAGAGAAGTATTATCCACATTTCAAATTTAAGGAAACTAAGGTCCAAGCAGTTAAGTAACTTGCTCCAGGCTATAAAATTATTTAGTGCCAAAACAATAATTCAAAGTTATGTATACCTTACTCTGAAATCTTTCCTCTATACCACAAGCACTTTCAGTCTATATATATCATGTCAATAAGAGAACAGAAAACATACCCACAAGTGTAAGATCTCAGTTTTAAGAGTAAAAACAAAAGCAAAGAGAGAAATAAAAAGAGGTAATGACTTAGTAATAGGTTAATATCCTTGACTATTCCAACGAAGTACAGATTGGGTAGAGGTGTATAGTTTACAGGAGACTGGGTGGCCCAGCGATTTGCGATGGGCTGCTAACCTAAAGGCTGGTAGTTCAAATCTACTCAGCCATAAACTGCTTCCTTAAAGATTACAGTCAAGAAAACACTACGGAGCAGTTTCACTCTGTAACACATGGGGCCAACATCAAATCAAAACTGATTTGATGGCACTTATACAGTTCACAAAAGAGAGTTGCGGGAGCTAAGGCTGGGAGGAAAAAAAAAAGTCTAGATTATAGAAAGTCAAGAATGGCCAGGACACAGAATATGGATTCAAAAAATGTTTAACCACGAAAGGTGAGACAACTAATGAAAGTGATGTTTTAGAAAAATTAATATTGATGGAACACAGAATTGTTTTGATGGGGAAAACTGGATTATAGTTAAGACACTATAAGGTCCAAGGTGACAAAAGAGAAAGAAGATAATGGAACATAATAGGGTGTGAAGGTAGAAGTCAATTAATAAATGTCTACAATTAGTCCTCGACTTATGACCTACCACACTTAACGACTGTTTTAAATTATTTGTGTACTTTTTATGTATGGATATATTAAAATATATCTGTAAGTTTATATGTAATGTTTCCAACCCCCTAAAAACAAAAATCAGATTTATAAAGATACTGACAAAAAAAGGCAATAATAATGAAAACTAAAAAAAAAAAAAACAATGAGGTATTCAACTTAGGTCAGAACTGACTTTTGAAAGAGTCATCGGAAGGGAACCTCCTCGTAAGTTGGAGACTACCTGTATTTTATTCATCCCATTATCTATCAACCACTCCCTTTATTTTTATCTCTGCTTTATTCATAACAGCAAAGGAAAACCAAACAGTTAAAAACTCTAATGACGCTGACGAATCTCAGAGCCTTAAAAGTTAGCTTCAAGTGTAACTTAAAATTTACCTTCATAGCAAAACTAGATGGCATCATATTCTTAGGCCACTCAAACTCTGTTGTGTGGATTCGTATCCCAGATTCAAGTAAAAGTGTGGCTTTAAAGTCTGGTCTGCAGGAGAAAAGAGTCAAATATTTTCTTTAAGGCATTTGCCAAAGTTAAGTCAGTGAAACAAACTAAAAGTGCAGGTAAAAATATCAATAATCTCGTAATTAATTACCAAAAATAAAACAAGGCTATAAAAATGCTCTTACTTTTGAAGACGAATGAGGTATGTCTTATTATCCACATCATAAACATTGTTTACTCTCATTCCTAGCAAGCTGCAAAGAGAAAGCAAACACGTAATAACATTTAAGTGTTTGAAACACAAAACTACAAACAATTTAATTTACACTATAAGCGGAAGCAGAGCCAGCTAAAGTCTAAGGTTATGGAGGCAACCAGGGAGTACAGTTAGAAGGCCATCAGAAAAACAACACAAAATGTATTAACTGTTTAAGAACAAAAGTGGTCGATCAGCCCTAGAAATACTATACAATGCCTTGCATCTTTGAAATGATCCAGTATTTTTTATAAACTATAGTAAAATATACTCCAATTAATTTATTTTTAAAAGAAAGGAAAGCAGTCTCCGAAGAAATATAATGACCAAAGTTACTTGGCTGAATAATAGAAACCAGACTAGAACTCATGTCTCGTCCAACTCTTTGCTAAGTAAACTCCAGGTAAAAAGCTGATCCTCCCTCTCTTTTGGGTGAAGAGGTGTATAGAAGAAACTGGGTCTCTAGTTTGGAAACCTATGGAGTAAATGACCCACATGACGTCCAACTCTCCTGTTTTACTAAGCGTTTGCTGCCGAAGTCTCCTGGGAGAACCTGTCAGGCCAGAATCGTGTGAACTGGGGCAACAATTCAGATAGACAAGGCGAGAGCCGGACACCAAACTTGGCAAGACGAGTACTCAGAGGGCGCCGGGTGAGGAGCACGCGACCGCTGGGGGCCTCCAAGGGTCCGAGGGCCACGGGAAGGGAGCCACGCGCTCGCCCATCCAGGCCTAGCCATGTCCACAGAACAGCATTAAAAAGGGAATAAGGGGAAACATCAGGCTGGTCTTGTTTTCACCATGGGGCCCCGGTCTCTGCCTCCTGCAGTCTCTCACAAGTCTCGTCACCTGTCCGACTGTACCTGGCATTCAACTCTGCAAGTACCGCGCGGAGGTCAATAGTGCTAAAGCGAGTCTTCATGGCGAGGTTTGAGGGTCACTACTACAGCAGCTGCCTTCGCTGCCTGACTCGACGACACTATTCTTCCGCGCAGGCGCACTTGACGACGATCTACGGCCACTCATAAGATCCAATATTCCTTGAAGCGAAAGTACTACGTCTCGTTTCTGAAGAATTTGGCTGTTATGTGGCCGTCGATTTGCTTTTCATTATACTAAAACAGTTCGAAATAGATCCTAACTATTCTCTTAAAACCGCATTCCTTCTCTGAACGCCTACAGACTAGTCAGGTTACCGCGCCTCCTTGTGTTTCGCGACTCAGGGCAGCCTCTATAGTGACTCCTGCTGGCGATAACAATTTTCGCGGAGAGTTAGGGGAGGATTTTCCCAGGTGGCTATAGTGGCCAGTGTAGAAGAACTATGACCTTTTTCCACTCAGTTACTTGGACGTGTAGAATTTTGAAATGTTACGAAGCAGAACTGTTTCTTTTGTCCTACGATTACCCTCAAGGGTTCAAGGCGAGCCCTCAGAAAAGAGTTGCTATTTTGATCGTTCCTCCTCTCCGAAGGAGCAGTCTGCGGAGTGTTGTAAGATTCTCGTTCAACCTTGGTCTTGTTTACCTGAAGCTCTGCATAGTACTTGTTGCACAATTTTGTTGTTGTTAATAGGTGCTCCATAAATGCTCGGCCAGCTGATAATAAGGGAGAAGGACGATAAAAATAAAACGAGATTCCCCACCACGAGACATTCACTATGTGGTGGTATATACAGTATTCTAAGAGTGCAAATAACTCCTCTTTTGGTGTTTTACGACGGATGTGCGGGAAGAAAAGTTAACTTTGAGGTGAGAACTCAAAAGAGACAGGGTCTCGCTATATTGCCCAGGCTGGAGTGCAGCGGCTATTCACAGGCGCGATCCCACTACTGATCAGCACGGGAGTTTTGACCTGCTCCGTTTCCGACCTGGGCCGGTTCACCCCGCCTTAGGCAACCTGGTGGCCCCCCGCTCCCGGGAGGTCACCATATTGATGCCGAACTTAGTGCGGACACCCGATCGGCACAGCGCACTACAGCCCAGAACTCCTGGACTCAAGCGATCCTCCAGTCTCAGCCTCCCGGGTAGCTGGGACTACAGGCGCGCGCCACCGCGCCCGGCGAGAAGCGGCAGCTCCAAGCGCACACTTCAGCCTCCAGGCTGCACGGCGTGACAAAGCGACTTCCTGCCACCAGAAGGTGACTCAAGCCTAAAGGGCCAGGTGCTGTTTCAGGAGAAACGGGGAAGTGTAGATACAAAAGAGCTTTATTTATTTATTTTGATTTTGATTTAGGTGAAGTTTTACAGAACAAATAGTTTCTCATTAAACAGTCAGTACATATATTGTTTTATGACATTGGTTAACAACCCCACGACATGTCAACACTCTCCCTTCTCGACCTTTTTTTTTTTTTTGGTGAAAATATACATAGCCAAAGATACACCATTTCAAAAATTTCTACGTGCTCAATTTAGTGACATCGATTACGTTCTTCCAGTTGTGCTGCTATTCTCACTTTAGATGAAGGTTTGCAGAATAAAATAGTTTCTCATTAAACAGTATACATGTTGCCCTATGACAATGGTTAACAACCCCACTATATGTCAACACTGTCCTTCCTCAACTTTGGGTTCCCTATCACCTGCTTTCCTGTCCACTTCTGCCTTCTAGTCCTTGTGCTTGGACTGCTGTGCCTCATTAGTCCTGTTTTTGTTTTATGGGGCTGTCTAATCCCCAGCTGAACGGTGAACGTCGGAAGTGACTTCACCACTGAGCTAAAAGGGTATCTGGGGGCCATACTCTCAGGGTTTCTCCAGTTTCTTTCAGGCCAGTAAATCTGCTCTTTTTTTGTGAGTTAGAGTTTTGTTCTACATCCGTCTCCAGCTCTGTCCAGAACCCTCAAAAGAGTTTCATTTGTCCGCTGGTCTATAGCATATGCAGCACAGCATTACTGTGTTGTGCAGCTCAATAAGCCTCACAGAATAGCTCGAAAAATGAAATAAACCACTTGGAGGGTTTAGGAAAGACTGGGAGACAGGCCTCACTGTACATAAACAATACTAAATTTCTTATGTTGGCTCTTAGGGCTACTCTTCCCAAAAGAATGCTTAAATATTTTGCATAAAAGCAGCAGTGTAAAGCCTCCACATTGAAAGAGACAACACTCAGATGGATGATCCTTATTTCAAAAACAAACAAAAAACTATAGTGCTTTATAGCAAAATTCCCATCTTTGGGTCCCTAGACCCCTAAGATGTGAGCTGGATATTAATTTAAGTTTGACATGGAACAGTCAGTCCATCTCTTAACTCATACTTTGCTTCTGCCTTGTCTGTCAAGGAAATGAACATCAGAAGGACAGGCAAGAACATACATAGGAAGATGGATAGATTAAGATAAACGTAAAGATTACAAGGAAACTTCATTTACTACTGAATTCTAGAATTTCTAACTTTTTTGATCATTTCTCTATTTTGAGAAAAATTTGAACCAGGGATACTTGTGCAATTGTGGAAAAAGTAAGAACTACTAGGAGAAGAGCAAATTATCTTCTGATTTTCAAAGAGAACATAAAAGTAAACATCTCCAACCATAGACAGGTGCTACTGACATTTGTCCTAAGCAAAAATGTAGAAGAGGTTATTAATGGGTTAATTATGGATGTCTAGACCTGTGGTTCTCAAACTTTAGTGTGCATACAATTTCTGTGGAGCTAATTGGAAGCAAACTCCTAATTACCACCCCCCAGAGATTCTAATTCATTCATTGACTTTGGCTTAACATATCTGCATTTTAAAAGATAGCCAAGATGAAAGAGGACCTTGGCCCCTGCTTAGATTTTCACTGATCTCTAGATGAAGCGGTGATACTAGGAAACAACATAGATTCCTTCAAAACAAGGGGTAATTTATTAATCTCACCACTCAACTCAGGAGAATGTTCCTCTGGTGTTTATAACTTTTTTATTAGGTTCTCCAAAAGTTTATTTTGATAATTTTTGCCAGTCTATTTGTTGTGGCTATGGAGAGACAGAGCCTTGGAGTTCCTGCCTCCTTTATTTTCCAGTCTGCCAGATTTTTATAAGGCTTTTTTAATCATCCGTTATTCATTCCATAGTCATTAACTGAGATAAAAATATTTTAGTCTCTTATAGTATTAGGCATTGAGATCCAGATACTGTTTTATGTTAGGTATTTTAGTCTCTTATAATATTGGGCATTACATTTTCATATTGCTCAATATTAGGCAACAGTGTGATTTGGCATCATTGATAGAAGTTTGGGATCTAGAATGAGAGCTGGGATAATGTCTTAGGCTGGATTCTCTAGAGAAGCAAAACCAGTGCAGTGTATAAATATACATATAGAGAGATTTATATCAAGGAAATGGCTCATGTGGTTGCAGAGGCTGGAAAGTCCCAAGTCCATAGGTCAGCCTGGAGGCTTCTTCTGACTCATGTAGCTGCAGGGGCTGGCAAATCCAAGATCGGAAGGTCAGACAGCAGGCCTCTGGCTCACAGGCTGTGAAGACCAATGAATCCCAAGATCAGCAGGTAAGCTGTGAGCTCAAGTCCCAAGAACCAGAAGTCTGATGAACAGGGGCCAGCTGCAGGATCCAGAGCAAGCAAAAGCCAGTGAGCATTGCCAGAAAGTCCACCTATACTGGATGCAGGCCATACCCCCAAGGAAACTCCCTTTCAACTGATTGGCTGCTCATAACAGATCTCATCATGCAGGTGATCACATTATATCAGATCTCATTATGGGGTGATTACATCATTAAAAAGCTGCCAAACTACATTATAACTGCCAAACCACTGAGGATCATGGCCCAGCCACGTTGACACACAATCTTAACATCATAGTCCACCCCTTGTCAACTTGGCACCTGTATATATTTCTAAATAAAGACAATTATAAAGTCATACTTGTGCCTAATGTGATACAATTAACATACATGCAACCAAAAATGCACTAACCCTGTTTACATCTTGTATTTTATAAGTGAAGAAAACAAAAATATTTGATGCGCACATACAAGGAAGAAATACTCATAACAATCACAATCCTTGTTTCTGCAACTGGTCACGTGGTCACAGCTGGTATTCAAAACTACCTTCTTCTACCACCCATTCTGTATTGCCTTTACCCTCAGCAAGCACCTCAGCTGGTTGTGATTCTTTGCCTGGTGAGGTGGCCCAAACCTTCATTCCGGGTCATTAGTAGTCATATTGGATTGGGTTACTGTAGTTTTCCATTGACTTTAATCACAGGGCATGGTAGTACTAAGAGACGCCCTAAGGGATCTCCTGCATTCCAGACATATTCTTCTTTACCTCCATTATGTAATAACAATCTGATTTCCTCTTGGTAATCAGGGTCAATCACACCAGCCAATATGGTAACTCCTTTCTCTGCCTGTTGATCCAGAGGCATGAGGAGCCCAAAGTGGCCAGGTAACATTCTTAACTTACAGTTCAATGAAATCAGTGATGCGTCTCCAGGTGAGAGTATTCCTCTCTTTTGGAACTAAGATCTCTAGACCTGCAGAGCATAGGGCCGAGGGGACAGGAAGCAAAAATTTTGCTAGTGGGTCACTAGCAGTAATAGTGAGTGGTGCCACTCTCATTTCCACCCTTTGATTCCTGGACCCATGAATCCTGGCTATGGGAGAAATGGCACTGTATATTGCACACTGGTTTAGAGCATATACAGCCTGCTAGAGAACATTACCCCAACCTTGCAAGTTATTTCAGCCCTATGCTTAGATGGTAAACCAGATATAGAATACTGTGTTCTGCACGTGCCAAGGAAAATATTCAAATTGGACAAAGACAGTGGTTAAATGGGATTGAAACCAAGTACCGGTAATGTAAGAAAAGGCTGAGGTGCTGATATGTAGAAATGATGCTAGACTTGTTATTTGTAAGCTCAAGAGTTAAAGCATGTACTGTTGTTGTTGTAAGTTGCTGTCTAGTCTATTCTGACTCATAGTGATTCCCTGTATGCAGAGTAGAATTTATGTGAATATTTATATGATCTTGGGTTGGGGAGGCCCTTGA